AGCTCACGCACTCTCTGATTTGCCGTCCACCTTCATTCCCACGTGAACGGGACAGGCGTCATCCGGCACGCTGCAGTCGTGATTCGTGGTGGTACTGAAACAGCCCTTGTACGTGGCCCTTGAATATCCTTGAAGTGACCAACCATACTCACGGCTTACGGACTAGGGGCAATCATTTCTATCGCCACGCCCCTCGTCGCAAAGACGTCTCCGAGAGACGACAGATCCTCCTATCATGAACGTTGAATTCCGCTTCGAATAGTCCTGGTGCATACCGCGCACAATCACCAATGATTGACGCTAGAGGCCAGCAAAGACAGAGCCGTTGCGGGTGGAGCCTCGGCTGGCGCTCCAAGCTGAGCGGCTCATCAATCAGACGCTGAGAATACTAGTGCTACCTTGAGTGGTCACGCGTTGCAGAAGGACCGTCACAGACACCAGATGATGATCGCGAATGGCCAAATGGGAAGCCATACACGGCAGAGCAGCAACGGGTCAGACAAGCGTCGCAATCATGGATTGTCCGTTCAGATTGCTGCATGGCTCATCAGTCAGGCACCCCTCTCAAAGGAGAATGTGCAACGAGCACACTCACGACTGCGATGTGGACGTACGGAATCAGCGCTTTGTAGCCGATTGATGTCACGGACTCGGTCATCGAGAAATGCGAGCCAAGATTACCAATAATGAATGAGTGCCCCAGAGGCTGTTGCTGCCACGATCCCTGACTGCGCAGCAATCGCGAACGTTGTGCAGCCCTGCTTCCTTGCTCGGATGCGCGGACTGCGCTCTTATTACTTGTGTAGAAGTTCTACACTTTGGCTAAAGTCATTCTGGCTTACGGGAGCGGGAAGGCGCACGGATATGGCGAGGTTAGGTAGGTGCTCTGCTGTAAGTCGGATCAAGATCGATACACTTCACCAAGAGATTGCGAGTCCAGCGAAAGTACCACCCATAACCCGCAGCATTCTGATTGTGATTCTTGATTGTGATTTCGTGACTCGTCGCCCTGCCT